TTAGTGTCACTACACGAATGGGATGAGACTTTCCATCCTTCCATTTGAAGCAGACATAGTATGTACCGGTCTATGCATTGTCAGTATCCCTCCGACAATCCTATGACCAGGAACCTTTTTGGACATAATGGTTATGAGAAGAAGGTCTCTGTAGTCTAATCATCATTAGATTACTTCTTCCATCAATCCATTGTCCATGGATTCATCATTTAGGACATATTTCGTTCATTGAGATAGTCCTAATTAGTATCTTTGCCTTCCGATGTATAAGAGTCATATATACATCATTACATTGTCCTGAAAGGTTTCTTCCAAAGATTGACTTTCAGGGCATATTTCCAACAAGTATGTCGTCGAGTGAAATGCAGAAGCACCACCAGCAAAGTAAATGTTTTATTTAGATGTTATGTACAAATAAATTAAGTCTTTATCATGTATTTGTGGATGACATCTTTAAATTTTTCTGTATTTGGATTAAATCATGACTGCAAGTATTTATTGGGTTAATTTGATTTACCTTATATAGATGATTTGAATATCTTATTTAAATATTTTATTTAATTTAGTTTAGAAAAAAAAAAAAGATTATTCCATATCAATTAATTTGAAAAAAAAATAAAAAACTTGTGCGACGAAGACATTTGTTGTGCAAAGAGTATTTGTGGGATGAATTTGACATTCGTTGGGCAAATGCTCTTCATGTGACGAATACTGTGTCGCATAAAGTAAAGTAGGGTTATTGACGGTATATGCTTTGCATCGCGTATAAGTTTCACGTTTATAATCAAATTGCTCAGCTGCGAGAGGCAGAAACTGCAGGATTCTTTGCAGCTGCTGCCTCAACAATCTCCTACTTTAGCTCCCTTCAAATTCGGCCTCCCCTTCCTCTATTTCTCTCAACTTCATCTTCTAATACTCCTTTCATCTCAATATTCGTCTCCTCTCCCTACATCGCTCTATCACACTCTATTCAGTCAACAATTTGATTTGTATTTAAAATTATCCATTGTGAATTCATGGTAACAAAATTAAAATTGTTTCCTATAAGGTTGTTGTATAAGATTGTTGGTAAAAAAATGAATTTGAAGCTATTTTCTACGCTATTTCACTTATTATTAATTTAAGCTATTTAATTTATTTTTTAATTGTTGTGATTTAATTTATTTGTGTGCAAATATTTTTGTACAACACTTGCAAAAATATTTGTGTGCAAATGTTTGTGTTGTATGGAGTTAATAGTACTTAACCTAGTACACTTTTGTTAAGAAAAGCTTAGTTTCCCATTTGAGAAGCAGTTAGACTTCGCACATGGATGCGAAAGCATGACCACGCTCCAATTGATTCTTGAATTGTCCCATTATTCGGACAGTTTGGGAGTGCACAATTATGTGTCATAGTTTGTAGTTCACAGATTAGGTTTCGATTGTGGGAATTTTGGTAACATCTCTTTTGTTGAAGTTGTAATCATTGTATTTTTATTGTGCATATAGACATAATGGAGAGACAGTGGATACATAATCCAGATAAATGTGTAGATGAATACTTGGATAGAATAAATGAGTTTATTGAGTTCTCAATTAGACACAACCGGTGTTCAACTAGAACCCGATGTTTGTGCAAGAGGTGTAACATCTCAATAACGGAGACATTTTGAAATGTTTAATTTCATTTAGTAAGACATGACATGATGGAGACCTATTGGAATCATCATGAGGAACGACTAGACCATGCTTCGTCCTCATACCTGATAAAAGTGGACAATGTTGAACATAATGTGGATCCTAACGAACAAGTTATGGACATTCTAAATAACACTTAACCATTTACCTTGATGAACACCAGTCAGGAAGGGGGAGATGATGTACATCCACTGACGGATAATGAAGCATCTCCTCCTTCCTTGGACAGTGAAGCATTCAAACAATATGAAAAACTATTAAAAAGTGCCAAACAAGCATTATATACCTGGGTTGTGAGGATTTTTCAGTGTTCATAGCCATTGTAGAGTTAATGCATGACAAAATAAAGTATTGTATGTCAAGAGGATGCTTCCAAAGGAAAATAATTTGCCAAAAGATCATTAGATGTTGAATGGTCGCATATTGGGTTATGAAAAAAAATTCATGTTTAAAAACATAATTGTATATTGTTTTATAAGGATAATAAAGTGTCGGATAAATGCCCTATATGTAATGAGTTTAAACATCTCAAAATAGAACGACAAAAATTCCAAAAAAAGTTATGTGTTATCTGCCATTAAAGCCTAAGTTGCAGCAATCTAGGTTGCAATGATTATATATGCCGACGCATACTGCAAACAACATGAGAATGGCATAAGGAAGGACGAGTAGATGATGATGTGATGAGGCATCCTGTAGACAGAGAGGCATGAAAAAAGTTCGATCGGATGTACCCTGATTTTGCAGCTTAGCCCTAGAATGTCAGATTGGGACTTGCCACTGACAAATTTAATCAGTTCAGGGTTCTAAACCAACACCACAACACTTGGCCGATCTTCGCATCTAATTTATCACCTTGGAAGTGCATGAAGAAAGAATATATGATGATGACTCTACTGATTACCAAGGATCTAAGAAGGTCCATTGATGTTTATTTATGGCCGTTGGTCGATAAGGTAAAGAATTTATTGGAAACTATGTTCGCACATAAGATAGGTCTACTAGCGAGAAGTTCACCTTGTGAGTATCATTGATGTGGGACTATAAACGATCTTCCCGCTTATGCAATGATTTCTAGCTAGAATACTAAGGGTTGTATGACATGCCCAATATGCAAGGAGAATGTATCATCTTCTTGTCATGCCAGAAAACTTTGTTATCTTGGTCATAATAGATGTTTTGCGTGGTCTTAATGGGCAAGCAAAATTTGAATCTCTCTAGCATGCATACAGATCGCTCACATGAAGAATTTGTATTTGCATATGGTAATAGATTGATCCTACAACGCTCAATGAAGCAAACATTTGTTGCTACATTCTCATATTTCTCAAATATACGTATCTCCAAAGTTTTTTAGTACACATGAATTTCAAAAGTCTAAAGCTATTGAAATCAGACAAATTCGTTCCAATAATAACCTGATAGACCTCATCACCAAATCTATACTAAAGTGTACATTTCAAAAATTGGTGCATAGCACTAGATTACATCTACTTAGTAATTGGTCAGATTGAAGAATATGGAATGAGGGGAGATACTCATTAGGGGGAGCATCTAAGACATGTGTGTTATACTCTTTTTTCTTCGACTAGGATTTTCTCCACTAAGTTTTTCCTAGCAAGGTTATAATGAGGCAACCGATATTGATATATGGGTATCCAAAGGGAGTATTGTAAATGGTGTGAATGCCCATTGTAAATGTGAGCAACCAACAATGACCATATGTTTACAAAATTGTCAAAGAAAGTGTCTTGTTAGGTTTGTTAGGTTGAAAGGCATGAGCAACCTATATATAAAAACGTATATTTGTATCATTGGAGAGAACAACACAAATAGAGATATTCATGTAAGCTATGCAAAGTCTAGAGAGGTAGAGAGAAATATAAATTGAGAGTTATCTTTGTATTCCTATTATTTTACACAATGAAAGAAAGTGCTACTGCTGCCCCGAGGACGTAGGCACACTTACCGAACCTCGTAAATATTGTTCTTATTTACTTTATATTCCACCACACACATATCCTCTATTTCACAACAATTGACAAATAATATCATTTTAATAGTAAAATAGTTTATATTCATACTTAAAAAAAGAAAGAAAAAAGAATGACTGCATAAATCGAGAAGCCTCAGGTACTAGCAGTTTTTAAAAAGTCAGTATCAGTGGAATATCAATATGCAAATTTGTGGAAATATCGACGGATATATCGAATGTCAATATAGATATCGATTGTTTGCGATTGAAATGATGAAAATTTAAAATAAAACTTTTGGAATTGTCAGATATTGGTTTGGAAGAAATATAAGAGTTTCTTTGATATTTAACAGGAGTCAGAATATCAACGATATATGTCGATTTTAGCCTAAACTTAAAAGTTTCTCTGTTATAAGGTGAAGTTTAAGCTTCACCCCATTTCCACATTTTTTTTCGATTTTTTTTGGATATTTCCTTTAAAATATCAACGGTATCGAAGAATTTTTAAACATTAAATACTACTACACTCCTTTGCTTTTTTTTTTTTTGGTCAATAGGAATTCCATTAATAAGGCCATCTTTAACCCTTGGGCTAAAAGCCAAAATTTTTAGCCCAGAAAGTTGTGCTTTTAGCCCAAAAATAGCTTTTCTGCTCCAACCCTTTTGGCCTAAAATTTTAGCCCTAAATTATTAAAGAATGAAATTAGGCTAATTTTTTTCCCTATATTTACTTTAAAAAAAAATTATGTAGACTATCGTAAATTAATTTTATGAACATTTTAATCTAAACATATTTAAATTCCGATAAATATTGAAAAATCACTAAATCGATACATGAAACTCATGAAACACTATGGAAGAATATGAAAATCATGATAGAGATGTATAACACAAAAGACATAAAACACATAAGACACACATAACACATGTGAAGCACATACAAAACACATGACAGAGATGAAACACACACAGAATACATGTGAAACACATGACACACATGAAACACATACAAAATAGAAACAAAACACATGAAATGCATGAAACACAAACCTACACAAATGAAACTGAAACCTTCAATCATTCTCTACATAAACACATGTTGAATATCAAACCATCACACGACATATTCACCAATCTTTCAACTTTCAAAGTGTTATTGTTTCCTAAAAATCCTCAATATCTCATCAATGGGTGATAGAAGACGGCGTAGCAGGGTAATGCATATGGCACAATACCAAGCAAGCCTTAACGTTGAGGATGCATAAATGATCAACGCATAACCTAAATTTGCAAACTAGTTTATGCAATATGAGCTCCATGCTGAATCTAGCTATCGTGGTTCTATCATGGGGAATTCATTTGTGCAGCGTGATAGAGAAGAGTGTCATGACCGAATGATTAAAGATTATTTCATCGAGCATCCAAGATTTCTTGCTCATGATTTTCGGAGGTGGTTTCGGATGAGAAGAGAGCTTTTTGAAAGCATCTTAAACGCAGTTGTCAATCATGACCACTACTTTGTACAGAAGATAGATGCCGTAGGCCGACAAAGTCTATCACCTCATCAAAAGCTCACATCTGCATTTGGGATCCTAGCTAATGGGTGCTCTGCAGACTTAACTGACGAGTATTGCCGTCTTGCGGAGATTACTACTATTGAGAACCTGAAGCCCTTCTATAAGGTAATTGAAGCCAGATATGGAGCCACATACCTCCGCAGGCCAAATCGTGAAGAATTGAAGAGGCTTGTATGCAAGGCAGACAAAAAAGGTTTCCCTCGCATGGTAGGAAGTCTCGATTGTATGCATTGGGAGTGGAAGAATTGTCCTAATGCTTGGGCTAGCCAATTCAAGGGTCGTCAAAACAAGCCAATCATCGTGCTCGAGGCTGTGGCGTCTTACGACATATGGATTTGGCATGCATTATTCGACGCTCCTGGATCAAAAACTGATAGCAACGTTCTTTGGTCTTCTCATCTGTCCGATGATGTTGTCGATGGATGGGTACCATAAATTCGGTACAAGGTAAATGGTAATAGGTATGAGCTAGGTTACTATCTAACTGATGGTATTCATCCTAGTTGGTTTACCTTTGTCAAAACTTTTTCTTATCCCGATAGTGCAAAGAAGAAATTCTTTTTAAAGAGGCAAGAGTCTTACAGGAAGGATGTGGAGAAAGTGTTCGGGATCCTACAAGCTCGATGGACCAATGTTAGAGAGGCTGCACGACTTTGGCATACTAAAGACCTCTATTTAATCATGATGATGTGCATAGTTTTGCACAACATGATTGTGAAAGATGAGTACATTGAAATTGAAGAAGATTTAGACGAAGATGTGGATGATAACCAACCAATACATGCGAGAGCTATGGCAAGATATGTTGAATATCTCGCTGCAACCACATATGAGACCCGACAGGATAGGGTCACATTGAGTGAGTATATGAGACGTTTAAATAGAATTCAAGCTCCTCAAGGTCATGACACACTCCGCAAGGATTTGATTGGGCATGTATGGCGCCAATAAGGCGAACGTTGCTGATGTTGGTGTATTAATGTGTTCTTGTGTTAAATTGAAGGGTGCTATGTTGCTATTTTATGTAATAATTCTAAGTGTACTATGTTTGTATTTTCTAGTAATAAATTGAAGTGTCTTCTTGTGCAAAGTCTTTTGTTTAGTACGTTGGATAAATTATTGAATGCCGTTTGAATTATTGAAGGCATCTATTGTACATCAAAGTGTGCAATAATAAGTACAATAATTATTGAAGGCATCTAGATTAATAGAAACGCTAATTAATAAGTCATAAATTTAATACACACGACAATTAATAAAGTACATAAACTTAATACAAACGACAATTAATAAACCACATAAACCACATAAACTTAATACAATCGATAATTCATAAACTTAATAATGATATCCACCACCTTGACTTAGTGGTGGACTTGGGATATAGGGTTGAGATGATTCATCATCTTGAAATATTCTCCTTGTGGCATATGTTCGCAAAATTTCCTTTTGCTTACCACGTAAGAACTTCTTCCTCTCTGGAGTGTATTTGTTGAGGTCATCCATGATGAAATTAATTTCGAACCTATCTTGCTCCCTATCCCCTTCTTCTTTCATTTGCAAACGCATTTGGGCCACTTCTTCTTGGCGAGCTCTATGGGTTTCGCTCAATCTTGCAAATTCGGTAGCAATGTATGCACTCATCGGATCTTGGGATTTTCCTTTCCTCTTTGCTTTCTTTTGCTTATCTCTTCCCAGGGGCCTTGCAAAAGAAGAAGTTGAGGTCATTTCATCGACACCTTCATCTCCATCATTTGTCGGTGTCGCTTCACGTTGAAATAATCTTCCCCATTGTTGGTCCGCATCGGTTGCCCACCTCGGACAATCCTTGAGGATGTCCCAAGCATGATGCAACTTAAAAGGTTGATTTTTTGGTGTTACTCTTGTCTTGTAAATTTCCATTGCTTTGTCACCCTATGCAAAAAATACATAAAAACAATTAGTTGAAAAATAATATTATGTACATGAAAAATAAAATATAAAAAAAACTCATAATTTCTGGGTGCTCCTTCCACTAGCCATGCCAACCATGACTCTCTACAAGCTTCCCTTCCATAAAGTGCATGCTTTGTTGATAGTCTTCCATTGATCGTAAACACCACCACCTTCCCACCCACCGCCGTTGCAGTTTTCATGGAACTTTTCAATGATTTTATCCCACAAAACCTTTTTATTTTGATTCGTGCCAACTGCACCATCTTCCCTAATGGAAACCCATGCCAAGTATAAAGCAACATCTTCCTCACAAGTCCAATTATGACCTCTAATATGCACTCTTAACATCTTGAAAAATTTAGAAATGGGAAGAATTGTAGGAGAAAAGTGAGTTTTGTGTGGATGTTTGAACAAATACATAGGCATTTATAGAGTTGTTGGGTGAATTTTGAGTTAAATAATTTTTTTTTAAAATTATTTTAGCCGTTGGATTTAAATCTCAGCCATTGGATTCAATACTATATAAATATAAAAACAAAAAAAAAATTTGAATCTAGGTCGTTGGATCAACCAACGGCCTATTGATCGCAACCTTCGGATCAAACTAGATGGTAGGGTGCCTGGGGAACGTGGTCGACAGGCCGATATAGGTGGGGCCCTTGCTGTCTAAAAGGTTGCACGTCATGCGCGTTTGGCAACTGGGTGGGAGGGGGTTTGGCGCACAAACGCTGGGTTTCACTTGATTCGGTGGGGCCCACATAGAATCCTGGGCTAATTTTTGGGCGGAATTTGGCCTAGGTTTAGCTTTTGGCTTTTAGCCCAAAGATTTAGGTTGGGTTGGGGGGAATAAATGGGGAAATTTGGCAAATAATCCAGTGTTGGGTTTGGTCTAAAGCAGCATAGAGAAGAAAATACAGAAAGACTCCTTAGACTGTAACATCCCACATCGCCCAGAGGAGTGGATCCTGTAAGCCTTATATGTATATTCTCATCTCTACCTAGCACGAGGCCTTTTGGGAGCTCATTGGCTTCAGGTTCCATCAGAACTCCAAAGTTAAGCAAGTAGCACGCGAAAGCAATCCCATGATGGGTGACTCACTGGGAAGTTCTTGTGTGAGTTCCCAGAAACAAAACAGGCCCAAAGTGGACAATATCGTGTTACGGTGGTGGAGTGGGCCCAGGATGTGGTGGACCCCGAGCCGGGATGTGACAATTATGTATTAAAGCCTAACCTTGGCCGTGGTGTGCCGACGAGGACGTCGGGCCATTAAAGGGGTGGATTGTAACATCCCACATCGCCCAGGGGGTAGATCTTGTAAGCCTTATATGTATATTTCCATCTCTACCTTGCACGAGGCATTTTGGGAGCTTACTGGCTTCGGGTTCCATCGGAACTCCAAAGTTAAGCGAGTAGTGCGCAAGAGCAATCCCATGATGGTGACCTACTAGGAAGTTCTCGTGTGAGTTCCCAAAAACAAAACTGTGAGGGCATGGTCGGGGCCCAAAGCGGACAATATCGTGCTATGATGGTGGAGTGGGCCCGGGATGTGGTGGACCTCGGGCCAGGATGTAACATAGACCATCTCCAACTCTTGGGCTAAAAGTCAAATTTTTTAGCCCTGAAAATTTAGCTTTTAGCCCAGAAACAACTTTTCTGCTCCAACCCTTCTGGCCTAAAATTTTAGCTCGAGATTATTAAATAATGAACTTAGGCTAATTTTTTTTTCTTAAATTTACTTTAAAAAAATAAATAAATTATGCAGACTATCGTAAATTAATTTTATGAACATTTTAATCTAAAAATATTTAAATTCCGATAAATATTGAAAAATCACTAAAATTGATACATGAAACTCATGAAACACTATGGAAGAATATGAAAATCATGATAGAGATGTATAAACACAAAATACATAAAACACATAAGACACACATAACATATGTGAAGTACATACAAAACACATGTGAAAGATATATAAAACGCGTGATGGAGATGAAGCACACACAGAACACATGTGAAACACATGACACACACGAAACACATACAAAACACATGATAGAGATGAAGCACACATATAACACATGTGAAATACATGACATACACGAAACACATACAAAATACATACAAAACACATGAAACGTGTTTTTGTTTCCTAAAAATCTTCAATATCTCATCAATAGGTGATAGAAAAAGGTGTAGTGGGGCAATGCAGATGGCATAATACCAAGCAAGCCTTGACATTGAGGATGCATAAATCATCAACGCAGCAGCTGAAAACACATACAAAACACATGAAACGCATGAAATATAAACCTACACACATGTAACTGAAACCTTCAATCATCTTCTATATAAACACAGGTTGAATATCAATTGATCACATAATCTTTCAACCTTCAATCATCCTCTATATTCACCAATCTTTCAGCTTTCAAAGTGTTTTTGTTTCCTAAAAATCTTCAATATCTCATCAATAGGTGATAGAAAAAGGGTAGTAGGGCAATGCAGATGGTATAATACCAAGCAAGCCTTGACATTGAGGATGCATAAATCATCAACGCAGCAGCTAAATGTGCAAACTCGCTTATGCAATATGAGCACCATGACGAATCTAGCTATCGTGGTTCTGTCACGGGGCGTTCATTTGTGCAACATGATAGAGAAGAGTGTCTCCGAGATTTCCTGCTCATGATTTTCGAAGGTGGTTTTGGATGAGGAGAGAGCTTTTTGAAAGCATCTTGAATGCAGTTGTCAATCATGACCACTACTTTGCAAGGAACATAGATGACGTAGGCCGACAAAGTATATCACTTCATCAGAAGCTCACATTTGTATTTTGGGTGCAAGCTAATGGGTGCTCTGCAGATTCAATTGACGAGTATTGCTGACTTTCGAAGACTACTGCTATTGAGAACCTGAAGCGCTTTTGTAAGGTAATTCAAGCCATATATGGAGCCACATACCTCCGAAAGCCAAATAGTGAAGACTTGAAAAGGCTTCTACATAAGGCAAACAAAAGAAGCTTCCCTGGCATGATAAAAAGTCTCGATTGTATGCATTGAGAGTGGAAGAATTGTCCTACTGCTTGGCCTGGCCAATTCAAGGGTCATCATAACAAGCCAACCATCGTGCTCGAGGTTGTGGCGTTTTACGACACATGGATTTGGCATGCATTCTTCAGCGTTCCTGGATCAAACAACGATATCAACATTCTTTGTTCTTCTCCTTTGTTTGATGATGTTGTCAATGGATGAAAAAAAGAATTTCGGTACAAGGTAAATGTTAATAGGTATGAGCTAGGCTACTACTTAACTGATGGTGTTTATCCTAGTTGGTCTACCTTTCTCAAAAGTTTTTCTCATCTCGATAATGCAAAGAAGAAATTATTTTCGCAGAGGCAAGACTCTCACAGGAAAGATGTGGAAAGAGCGTTCAGGATCCTACAAGTTCGATGGGCCATTGTTAAAGGGCCTGCATGACTTTGGCATACCGAAGACCT